CCCATCCCATCCCATCCCATCCCATCCCATCCCATCCCATCCCATCCCATCCCATCCCATCCCATCCCATCCCTTTGCTGTTCCATCCCCATCCACACCTGCACCTCCAGCTCACCCCATGTAAAGAAACCCCAATGTCTGTCCCTCAGGCTGGGGAAGCTTTGTGGGGCCTTACAGGGTTCCCCCTCACCTTTCCCACGTGGAAGCAGTCGTCGGCAGAGAGGGGCACGCGGGGCTCGGGGCTGTAGAGGGGCGGGTGCCCGTCTCTCTGGAAGATGCCCCTGGCCAGGCCCTTGACACTGAGGGCGTACACGTCCTGCAGCCTCATCAGCGCCCTGGCTGCCCCCTCCAGGTCCTCAGCTCCAGGCAGCTCCTGCTCCACCTCCCTGAGGCCAGCATGGAACGCTGCACGGGGGGAAAGATGTGCACGGGCGGGGATCAATGACATTTTGAGGTACAATTCCCTTATCTGCTCTTCTCCCTGAGGATCCCACATCCTGCTCCTTCCCCTGCTCCTACACCTGTTTTCCATCTCCACCTGTTCCCTTTTTCCTCCATCCACTCTGSTCCTCCAACAATCTTCTTGCTTCTCCATCCATTCCCCAGCCCCTCAGTTTATTTCCTGGCACCTTTATCCATTCTCCTGCTCACTGACCCTTCCCTTCCACCTTTTGTCCTGTTCATGCACATGTTCCTCCCTGCCATCCCTTCCCCAGCTCCTCCATCCTCTCCCCAGCCCCYCCAGGCTCCCCCAGGTGACAGAGAGGACCCAGGGCCGAGTGTCCCCATACCCTGGCTGTTCTCGGTGGCCTCGTCGCTGTAGATGACGTTGGGCCAGTCCGAGTGGAGCCGYTTGATGAGGCTGAAGGCCAGCAAGGGGTTGTCCACTGAGGCCTTGGGGTGCTGGTGCAGCGCCTGCACCTTCTGGTAGAACCTACGAGGGACCCACTGGGGACACTTTGATGCTCCTCAGGGTCGGTACCGCCGGGGCAGGGCTGAGTCCCCCCACTCTCTGACCAAGGCAGAGCAGAGGGACTGTCCGGCCATGCCATCCCTGGAGGGTGTGGGGTCGGGCCGGGCCTCGGGGATGCTCCCACCCGGATCCCCATGGGCGCGGTGACCGTGTCCCCCTCCTGGGGCAAGGACCCATGACCGGCCTCAGTCTCCCCGTCCTCTGATTTAGGGCCACCCTAAAAATTGGGTATAGCGGGGAGGTGGGGATGGTTAACCCCTCCTCATGGCCAGGGAAGCTCCCACCCCGGGGATGCGGGAGGGGAGGGTCCCTCGGTGCCCGTTGGGGTGCGGTACCTGCGGAGGCGGCGCAGGCGGGAGCTCTCGTCCCGCAGGTACGCGCGGAGCCGGCGGAGCAGGCGGAGCTCAGTCCCCAGCGCTCCCCGCACGCTCAGCATCGCCGAGAAGGTCTCGGCCGGGGCGGGGGGCGGCAGCAGCGCCAGCAGCACCCCCAGCACCCCCAG